GGGTGTGTCAAAAATACTTTTATAAACTTTGTGGGCGGGTTCCTCACATCAAAACAAAGATAAAAGTCCAAATATGTCCGCAAATCCTTTGCTTTTTTTTTTTAGTTAATTACAGTAGATGCTGTTAAATCTACAATCCATGATACAATCCCAAAATATTTATTACCATAGTTTGTGGTGCCACGGATCTTGTCTCAGCAACGTGACGATAAGCAGCAGAAAAGGTTGGATGACTTGCTTGCCTTCTGTCTGGAAATGCAATCTGATACAGCCGTGCAGCCTGGCGTCCATTACCATTCGCGCGATCGTATGTAAAAATCATATCTGCCTGCTGACGATATAAATATCCAGACATTGCTAACTTACTACTACACACGTTAAACGTTGACGACAGACTAGCTACTAATATACACGAATGACAAATGTAACCTAGTCTGCATTACAACACAGCGCCATCTGGCGTAAACTTTCTATAAACTTAATAACTCAAAAACGAAGGATTTGCGCACGTACGTTTATATGAACTTTTGCCCTTGTTTTGGTGTGAGGAATCCGCCGCTAAAATTTGTAAAAGTATTTTGATACTCTCTCTCTCTCTATCTATCTATCTATCTATCTCTCTCTCTCTCTCTCTCTCTATATATATATATATATATATATATATATATATATATATATATATATATATATATATATATATATATATATATATATATATATGTGTGTGTGTGTGTTATAATTGTCTTTTAAAAATATAAAATATATAATCATCGAAAAAATATTTTCAAAACTGAAACTTAAATTCAAATTCAATCATAAAAATTAAACTTAAAATACAAAGTTTCACTCCATTATGAAGCACTACCAAGAGTAAGGTTTTAGAAATTGATTTACATAATTTATAAGTCCAGACAAATTTGATATTTTTAGATTTTTTGGTTAAGGAAAATTCCATGTTTTTAATTTTAGAGTTGTTAAGATTTAACTTATTTAGAAAACTCATGGATCTAATGCATTGTAGCTATCAAGTCGGTCAAGTCAAGGTGGGATATATATATATATATATATATATATATATATATATATATATATATATATATATATATATGGACAACAACAAGCGGCGATAGTTTTCAGGTCTGAAGATTGCGTTCAAGCTTGAAGCAGACTGTTGCCGCTTGGTGTTGATTTTTTTTAAACGTCGCGTCTTCATACGTCCAGTTTTTTGTTTTAGTATAATATATATGCAAAAATGTTTAAAATTCTTGGTAAATTCCTATTTATAAGTTGGAAAAAGCGAGTAATTAACCTTATCTTTTTGTTTATTATTTAAATTTTCTTTATCGTTTTTATTTCTTATATTCTTTTATTTCTATTTAATAGGAGTAGATAAGTTCGCCTATCGTCCGATTCGCACACCTCCCTGGTCTTTTGAACAGGAGTAGAGGTTTATCCCTTCTTTACTGCTTAGGATTGGGTTTCCTTTTCTTTTTTTTAAAGTCTTTCATTCTCTTTAACTCCCAGTAGCCCATTGCATATTTGTTGCATTATTGCCTGTCTTGAAGTGAATTTAATAAAAAACATTAAAAAAATATTTTTGGTCATTTGAGCTGATTGTCTTGCAAGAACATGCTTTAACTTAAAATGCTTTTCCCAAGAACTTTTCTGCATTCATCTTGAAGTTATTAATTTTGTGATAAACAAGAATTTTACGACACACAATATTCTTTTTCTTTTATGCGCTGTGTGTCTTCAGGACGTAGGGGATCATGGCTCTCCACTATTTCCTGTCCGTCATAGTTCTTAATAAATTTGGTCTTTTTGTTATCTTTTCTAAAACTTATTCCGCCACCCATTTACTCAAACTAACCAGTAAGATTATGCGTTGTTTACCTCTGTCCCTTTTGCCTTCAATCTGTCTTGTGAATATCAAATTTTCCAACCCTTCTTTCCTCATTACGTGACCTAGAACTGTTTCTTCCTTGCGTTATGTATAACTGTCCTTTTGTTGCCATTTTCTCTAAAATTTTCTCTCTGCTCACATATTCGGTCTATGGTATCCCCAGCATCCTTCTGTAGAGCTACATTTCTGTTGCTTCAAACCTCATCTTCATCTTTGGAGAGATTGTCCAGCATTCGCTGCCATATAGAAGGATTGATATCACTTAGCAGATCATCACCCCACTTTTTTGTTTCTGAACTGAATTTATTTTTGTTTCTAAATATATCATTCCCCCCCACAGTTCTCCTTTCCGTGGTCTATGCGTGTGTTTGTGTGCGGGATTGTGCGTATGTAGATGTGTGTTTGTGTGAGTTTGTGAGTGAGCGTGTGCTTTTGTGTGTGTTTGCGTGTATGTTTGTATGTGAGTTTGTGCATATGTGTGTGCGTTTTTGTGTGTGAGTGTGTGTTTTATATGCGTGTTTGCGTGTGTGCTTGTGTATGTGCGTATGTGTGTTTTTTGTGTGTGTGCGTGCTTATGTGTCCGTCTATGGTTGTGTGTTTTGTGTGTGTTAGTGTGTGGTTGTGTGTGTGAGTTTGTGCGTGTGCGCACGTATTTGTGTGTGCGCGCGTATTTGTGTGTGCGTGCGTGTGTGCGTGCGTGTGTGCGTGCGTGCGTGTGTGCGTGTTTATGCATGCGTATGTATTTGTGTGTGATTTTGTATGTGTGTTTGTGTGCGTGTGTGTGTGTTTTTGTGTGCATGTGTGAGCGTGCGTGTTTGTGTGTCCGTGTATGCGTTTGTGCGTGTGCGTGCGTGTGTCATGAGAGATTAAATGAAAAGAGAATGCTCACATGATTTGGTGTAAAAAAAAATTATAACTAATTATACAAACACACTCTTAAAAATCCTCTTTAACCAGTGACTTTTGATGTGTTTAATATTACCTTAGTCTCATATTATTTTTTAATATGCCACGCCCCTTCAGAACATAAGCGATAATGGCTCTTCACAGTTTCCTTTTCTTTATTATTTGCGAATTGCCATAATATCTTCAGAAAAATAGTTGAGCGATTTCCGTTTTTCTTCTTCAGAATCCAGATTTGTTCTTCTCCTAGACTGGCTGGTAAACAAAGCCTAATCGTCTCCTATGCTATTTTAACTCCCAAATGACCTTCAAAAGAGATGGATTCATGCCTTTCTCAAGGCATTAGTGCGATATTGAACGAAACAGATTAGACAGAAATTTGAACTTGGCTCGTCGATTTTATTTTCCGAGCCGATAACCGCTAGGCTACTGCACGCCCACTCTGTCCCGTAATAATTGTTACATTTAGTGTATGCAATGTGTAAGAAAATGTACCAGTATTATGGAACAGAGAAAGTAAGATATAATACTACCTCTGTCCCGTAATAGTTGCTACATTTCCACCCTGTCTGAAGTTATTAAGCAAATCATATCAATTCAATAATTCAAATTTGGTTTGAAAAATTTTTAGAACAAAGCCTAATTAAAAAATTTTCAAAACAAAACCTGATTTAAAATTTTAGGTAGTTTCAATATATTTTATTGAAGCTATTTGATGTCTTCTAAAAAAACTGCCATCTGAAGTTATTAGGCAAAACCAAATAATCATATTTAACTACAATAAAAAGGTAATAAAATCATCAAAAATTAATCAACACCTATAACAGAATAAATGATAAGTCTTTGAATTCTTTACATTTTAATATAGTGACTCTTCTTCTTAATAACAGCCAGTAATCTATCATCCATTGATTTTACATTTTTTTTTACTTCAGCAGGTTTAATTTCCAACATGGTAGTTTTAATTGCTTCCTATAGGTTTGATTTGCTGTTATATCCATCTTCATATAATTTCATCTTCACAATTGACCATTCGATTTAGATTAGGACTTGATGGTGGCCATTCCATTTTCTTCTCTCATGTAAATCTTTTATGCTCAAAGAATTCATAGGTAAACTTAGATACATGTGAAGAAACATTGTCATGTATAAATACAAACTTCACTCTGAAACTGTGAAACTGGGTCTTGTAACATGCAAAGAAATTCTTGTTCATAAAATCACAAGTTATCACTGTTCATTTTAACTCCTTCATCAATTTTGATTGGTCCAATAATGATTTGGCTGACAATTTCAGATCATAAAACTACAACTTCCTTGTTACCTTGTTTTAGTCACAGGCAAGTGGGAATTGGATAAAATCCATCATTTGACCCATCCATCAAGTCTATAAAATGTCACTTGAGATTCGTCTATGAAAATTACTTCAGAAAAGTCAATTTTCATGTATTTCTTGGCCTAATTTTGACACTTTAAAATATTTGCTTTAGTAAGAGGAGGTTGACTCGAAGGCTGTTTACAGATCTCAATTTACAAAATATTCTACACCTTTTACCTTCTTGAATCTCTTAATTCCAGCCTCTTCAAAGAGCTGAGCCTTGGTCAAAAGTAGTTGTTTTCACTATAACTCGCTTTAGTTTACATTCATCTCGACTATGCAAATTCTTAAAACCTTTTTCCTTTGCTTCAAGTTCTCAACTTATATTTTCAACAGCCTTATTTATCGTTCGATGTTCTCTGCAAAGCTCCTTTGATGTCTCCACTCATTAACGTTGTTCTGTTTTTCAGCAGTTATTAGATCCTTCCCTTTACCAATGTAAATGTACCAATATTATCGGACAGAGATAGTAAGATATAATACAACCTCTGTCCAATAATAGTTGTTATATTTAGTGTATACAATGCGTATGAAAATGTACCAATATTATGGGACAGAGATAGTAATATATATTACAACCTCTGTAGCATAATGGCAAAACCTTTTTTTCAAGATATAACTTGTAACCTCAGTGTTTCTTCAATGGCCACCATAACGTTCAAAGCTTTTTTTTTTCGTTTGGCAATTCTCTCTTTAGCAGCCACTCATCTGTTGTGATTGCATCTGGCAAGATCTGTGATCCACAAGAATATTGATACCTCGACCAATTCCTTTTTCCTCTTCGTATTTTGTTCATATTCTTGACTCCAATGAAAGCGGCCAAATCCCGCTTCGTTCATTCTCCTTATTCGCACGATTCCATCCGTTTTTGATCATGTATTTTCTTTCACTGTCGTTTTTCCACAATTTTTAATTTTTTTTTTTCTTTATTTCTTTCTTTCTTTCTTTCTTTCTTTCTTTCTTTCTTTCTTTCTTTCTTTCTCCTCTCTTCACTGTATCAACATTTTTATCACGTTTCCTTTCTCTCCATCTTTATTACACTCCTGTTTCTTTTTCTCATTTATTTCTCTTTTACTTCGTTTTTTTTTCCACCTATTCCAGCTATTCCGGCATCACCCTCCCCCGCCTTACCTCACCGAATCTTCTTTCTACGTCTGCAATCGATCAGGTTGTTCTTATTCATCTCACCTTCTCCATTTCGAAGGATTCCCGCCGAGTTTGCCTCTGCACGCATGCGCTTTCATGCACCAACGGCTGTGTGGCCAACCGGGTAGGAAAAATGCTCACGCATTTATATCTCAGAAGAGGAAGAGAAAGTAAAGGATCTTATTTTGAAGAGGGCAACCTTGTTCAACCCACCGGAAAAATCGATTGATGATCTGAACATCACTGCATCATACAGTTTGACTATGGTAGTTGCTTCACCAGTGAAATATCGGGTAGTCTGTTCGACATCTCCATTATACGAGAAAACATCCCTAGAAGTCCACTTCTTGTTGCATTTTCAACCTGAAATAATTTTTTTCGTCTATCGCGTTTCCTTCTTTAGGACATCATCGGACTAAAATCATATTTACGTTGATGTAACTACACATGCGCATGAAAGGAAGGGGAATTTTACATTTAAATTATGATGTATATATATATATATATATATATATATATATATATATATATATATATGAAAAAATATAATTTTAAGGTGTGCTATATTTATGGGATAAAGTGCTCAATATCAGAGATAGAGCATATTTAAATATAAATATAAAAGTAAACATTGAAGTCAACACTCAGACGCGACTGGCTGCTTCATGCTGGACGCAATCGTCAGGCCTATATATATATATATATATATATATATATATATATATATATATATTGTGTATCTAGGCAGCAATCCTTCATTTATACATGTTTCGTTAAAAACGACAGACAAGGTACTGCGATTAATCTTTTATTTAATTTTTCTTGTGTTTGAACAGGTGTTTTCTTTTCTGGACACAGAGTGTGTAGAAACTGTCCAAATGTTCTGTAATACCGAGCACTTTCGGCTATACTTTTAACCATTATTTCCAGGTATAAAAGGTAACTGCACAGCACTTTAATCCTTTCGCTTGCTTTTCCACTTAATTAAGTCGTTATTTATGTTCAGGTAAAAGAGTTACATACTAAAATGAGCGAGCCTCTCTGATTTTCAAAGAGGACAAATTGTTGGTGCTCGATTAGCAGGAGCATCTGTGACCAAAGCATCTGAATTATTGAATGTATCACGAACTGTAGTTATGACAGCTTACACATAACAAGGTAAAACATCACCAGGAAAGAGTCATAGTGGACAGAAACCAAAGTTGACCGAAAGAGACCGACAAACTTTAAAACGAATTCTGGCAAAAAAAAAAAAAAAATCATTAATCTCCTGCAGCAAAAGTGATATCAAAACTAATTACTCACCTAACCAATAGAGTTTATACCCGCAAAGTACATCAGGAGGTCCTCAAAGCTAGTATCCACGGTGGGGCTGCGATCCCTATAATCTGATCACAAAGTCGAACGCCAAGTTGCGAAAAAAAAAAATGGTGTGATAATCACAAAAATTGGACAGTCGAGGAATGGTCTGATGAGTCTTCTTTCAAATCATTTCCTACAAACTGGCGTGTTTATGTCTGGAGAACACCGCCGCGTGAAGGTTATGACCCACATTGCATTGTCCCGACACTCACACGGGGAGGTGGCTCAGTAATGATTTGGGCGGCAATTTCCTGCTATTCTTCTGGCCCTATCATCATTATCAATGGTAGAATTACTGCAGATAAATATTTCGACATTCTCAATGGCAATGTCCTTACAATGGCTACCATACTGTTGCCAGAAAGTGCCATATTCCAAGAGGATAATACACCCATACACACTGCAAAGAAAGTGAAGTCATGGCTTTGTGACGTAACGTAATTAAACATCTTCCATGGCCAGCACAATTACTTGATCCTAACACAATTGAACTGATGTCTTCTCTTATCGTCACTGAAGAAACTTTCCGAAATTTTGATTGAAGAATGGAATGGAATTCCACTGGAAACAATTCAAAACATATTTGATTCCATTCCACGTAGATTTTGATTCCATTCCACGTAGAATTTGATTCCATTCCACGTAGAATTTGATTCCATTCCACGTAGAATCAACGCAGTTTTAGAAGTTAATGGAGGCCCAATACCTTATTAGTTAATAAATAATTGTTTAAGCCAGGTGTTCACATTATTTTCTTTAACCTATCTATCTATCTATCTATCTATCTATCTATCTATCTATCTATCTATCTATGTGTGTGTGTATGTGTGTTAGTGAGTGCGTGCGTGTTTGTCTATATAGCCTGGTCGATTTAATTTAGTTTCTTTTTTTTTTTAGATTTCCATAACGCTTGTTTTTATTAAATATCTTACACTGCGATGAAAGGTGAAATGCTATAAGAACATGAACATAAATTTACTATGGATAATCTAGCGATTAAAGCACTTTCTATACACTTTCGTCTTAGCAAATTTTCCCAAAATCTGATATATAAAAATTTATATATTGTTTTTCTTAATTTATATGAATGCCCACACCTTTTTTCTCAATAAATCGTCCTGGGTATGATGATAAATTACATCCGGCAGCAAAGCCTCTGGTCAGGAGTTTGGAGGTTTTCAGGAGCGTGGAACCACCTCTTAATTGCTGTTGTTCCCAGGTCCACCCTGGCCCGGGGTGGTAACATCTTTTAGAATCCCAGCTATGGACAAATAGTGAACTCCCAAAAAAGAATAAAAAAAAAATATATTGATCGGAAAGTCTCCTTTATATGTCCGAAACTCCGCCCACTTTGTGGAAATAATCAAAGATGCTCCCATCCTATATAACCAGATGGTGAGCTTGGACGTGGTGAGTTTGTTCACCAAGGTACCCACGGAGGAGGCACTCTCAGATTGGCCTCTTACTCATTCCTAGAAGAACGGACCAGTATTCCAATAGATAATCTGATGGAGATGTTGACTTTCTGTACACAAACAACACACTTCGGAATGGGATCACACATATATCGACAGGATGCGGGCTTAGCAATGGGCTCGCCATTATCACCAGCAATGGCGAATATATACATGGAATACTTTAAGGAAATGGCATTAGAATCTATATCACTAAAGCCAACTCTATGGTTAAGGTCCGTAGATGACACCTTCATACTCTGGCCACACCAGGAAGATGTTCAGGTTCTACTGGACCATGTGAACTCAATAAGACCTTCGATACAGTTCACAATGAAGAAAGAGAGTAACATACTCCCATTCCTGGATGTGCTAATATCTCGAACAGAGGATGGGTTCAAGACATCCGTATACCGTAAACCGACATTCACCGGACAGTACCTCAATTTCAACTCCCACCATCCATACAGCGTAAAGAAAGGGATCGTCCGCTGCTTACAACACCGAGCAAAAGTCATAAGTGGCGACCCAGAGACATTAGATAAAGAATGGGTCTGTATAAGTAGTACCCTACAACCTAACAACTCTCCTCGGTACATGGCAGCAGTCCCAAAAACTGGGATAGGCAAATACAAGAGGAAGGGGACAACAACACTCAGAAAACAGTTTGCTTGCCTTATGTGAAGGGGTTATCAGAGAAAAAACAAAGGATCTGCGGTCCATATAACATCAGGACAGCCTTCAAAAGCTTGATGACACTTCACAGATATCTCTCTCGAGTAAGACCCCCCCCCATAGAGGAGAACATGACTAAAGACTGTGTGTACGCTATCCCGTGCAGCTGCGGAAAGAAATATAAAAGGGAGACAGACCGCCCTCTTAAGGTAAGGCTTCAAGAACACCAGAAAGCTGTAACACGAGGGAAAGTGGAAAAATCAGGCGTGGCTGACCACATATGGAGAGAGAAGTGAGATCACCGCCCTCTGTGAGATCAGGTTGAGATTATAGACAAGGAACATCATTGGAAAATTTGTAAACTTAAGGAATCAGCACATATGCTAGGCCACAAAAATATCCTGCGCCGACCAAGCATAGAAATAAATACAATATGGGAACCAGTAATAAGGAGTGCCAGAGAAAAGCGATTATAACAACAAAAGTTGCAATATGAGCTCTGGTAAAAACATGTAATGATAACTGCAAAAAATTGCAATATGAGTACTGGTAAAAATGGTTGCTGAAAACATTAGGTTTATAATACCCAGAAATTCATACGCAGGACAAATGGCACAGTGGATGAAGGCGTTGGTTAGATCCAGTGTCAGGACCTAAAGAGTCTGAGTTCAATACCCGGTTAAGGCAATGGAGAACTTTCAGAGGGAAATTAACAGGAGATAACTGATAGCTGACATCCATTAAACATGGCACGTGGAACTAGAACAGTCTACCCCAGTGAGCGAAATAAAGGGTTAAATTCGACATTCAAACCACCTGAACGGCCGAAACGTTGTAATAAATATGGTGACAAAGTTGAGGACAATAGTCCGAATAATGTAAATAATGTACATAATACCTCATCTCAGAAATATAAACAGATAAAAAATATATAAAAATATATAGCTTTAACATAATATTTATAGCAAAATGACAATCAATGTTGCACTACAAAAATATAAAAATACATTTTTATAGTAAAATTGCCAACAATACATTTTATGATCTACAAAATATATGTCTAAAAAGCATATCGTTACTCTGGAAGTATAAAATTATGTACAAAATAACTGTAAAATTATGTACAAATTATTTACACTTCGACATTAAATAACCCATAGAGGTGTTGATATGCTGCTAAACAAAATCAACCAACGACAATACATTTAAAGCAAAATCACCAACAATGCATTTTATCTGTTGTTGAAGACATGCAACATGCGTTCAAATATTTAGATTTCAGCATTTAACAACTCATAGAGGTGTTGATGTATCGCCCCACAAAATCAACCAATTTTCTTAATAAATAAAAAATAAAATAAAGCAGAACTAAGAAATAAAGTAAAAATGATGGATGTGACATAAATTTCAACATTAGTAACCAAAAAGATATTTTAATATTTAGTACTTCCACAAAACTTATCCTGAGAGCAAACACTTGAGGTAATAGGAATGTGATTCTACAGGAGGATGCTGAGAATACCATAGACGGAACGTGTGAGTAACGGGAAAGCGTTAAGGGAAGTGAAAAGAAAAAGGGCACAGTGTTGGAATGAGAAAGATCTGAAATGTATAGCACACATAATGAGGGAAGAAGGCACGGATAATTTGACACTCACAGTGCAGATTGAAAGCATGTTGGTGGGGGGGAACAGTGGGAAAGCAGCGAGTAACCAGGATAACGATCTTGTGTAAATCGAAGACAGAACAAAGATTGGGAGGGAGAGCGGATAAGGGAGACGTTCCAAATAGCTATAAATGATAGGAAGCTGTGGCTAATCTATGATAGGCCAAGTGCTGAAGGAAAACTGCATATAGAAGAAGTGGTCCACATTTTGGCAGATCGCAAAGGTTAACATAACCTCAATCTAAAATTTAATTTCGTCTTTTGTTGATTCATCGATGAACCTTTTATTTGGGGAATTTTTTAATTGGCTGTTAAAAATGAACCAATTAAAAAAGAAGGTAACACGAGTGACGTCATTAGTTTTGAGCAATTAACCCAGTGATGACAAATTGGCTTTGGTTGTTGAAGAATGAATAATACGAATCTATAATGTAATTTGAAATTTAAATAACGAAACTAATTGTTCAATTTGCAGTCTGTTTCGGAATGGGGCATATTGTTTGGACAATTTTATATATTTGATGTTAATAAAATAAATACTAGTGTTTTTCATAACTCTAAAAGTTATTGTCGAATCTTCTAAATTATTCAGTTTAAGGAGATAATTTGCCTTTTAAAATATTACTGATAAAATTGAATAAAAATTGGAAACGCAATCAGACGACATTTAGCAACCGTAGTGTGTACATATTGCAGACATGTTTTTGGTTGATTTAACTAAGAAACAAAATGCTTACAACATTCTCGGGACCAAAAATGATTGGTTAGTTAATCAAATAGAAATATGTTCTTTTTATATATAATATATTTCTTTTTCACACCAAAGTTTGTTTTAACACGTATCAAAATAAACGGCGCAGAAGGTTATTTCAGACCACCCCCAACTACACCAAGATAATGATTATGGTTTTATATTTGAGGTGTAACCGGATACAAGGGAGATAACTATAGTGTCTGATTGCACATGCTCAGTGAAGCATATTTAAACGGATGCTAGAGAATGTTTCCAACCGCCCCCTCGCCAATTGGTGCCTGCTAGTGCATACAGCCACCCTTTTCACAAAATCTGACATCTGTCGATCGCTTCGTTCGAGGAGAGATGGGGTGAACTTATCAAACGAAAGCGGAAAAGGCAATTCCTCTAGCCGTTAGGTCATTTTCAGATCTTATGACGTCATCATTCATGCAAGCGAGACAGCAAAGAACGTGGCTCATCTCGTAAGCACTCTATTTTGAAAATATAAGATTTTCTCATACTGTGTATTCGTTGTTTGAAGCAATATTTCTCTATATTTTATGAATATGATCTAAAACGCTAAAAAAATTGTTTCACCTTATAATTCCGTTGAATTAAAAAGTTAATTCTTCGCTTTAAATCTAAATCTTTTTTTTTTTGCATATTAAATCTTGTTTATCTGGAAGTTATTATCGTGATTATTTCCACAGATAAAAATGTCTTGTAAAATCGAAATACGCGTATGTCTACAGAGAAAGTATTTATACCACCAAATTATATTTTCAACAAAATGATACAAAATGAAAGATAAAAACAAGAAAGGCTGACATTTTATTAAATATTTATTTCATCAAAATAAATAGTAAAACAGTAAAGGTTTGGCTGTGGAAAAGGTACACTTTTCATTAACAGCAGAGTCTGAGTATTTACATTTTTGAAACAAGAAAAATACTACTTATATGACTGACTGTACAGGTGCGCTTTTCTTTAAAGTCGACAGCCCTACACATTAAGCGAAAGAAAAAAAAAGAGAGTTTCCTTTTGAAAGCGTAGAATTTTAAAGATGTCAGTCTACTAGACTGCTGGTTGCTGCTACTATGTATGTTTTCTACAGCCAATATTCTGTGTCGAGGCTTAAATTCATTACAATAGAATAACGATATTCTGGATCCATTATTTGAACTATTCCAGGAATTTTGTACATTTTTACTGACTTTTTTATTTTCAAATTGTTAGTTTCCATTTCCTGAAAAGACTTTTTTTTTTTTGCTAAAAAAGAAAGAAAATCATCCATATAGTAAAATACTTTAACAGTTGATTGCTATATAATACTCTTAAAATGATGGAAACTTTAAAAATTGTCACCTTTAAATGAAAAAACATCTTTAGGTTCTTTATGCTGTAGGTTAATTGGCCATCGTTAAATGTAATTGGCAGAAATGCCCAGCAAACTGAATTGACAAAGTTTCCCAAAAACAATAAGAAAAGAAAGAAAAAAAAACAGGACAAAGATAATACTAAGCAGACAATATATATATATATATATATATATATATATATATATATATATATATATATATATATATATAATATTTGTGTATTTAGGCAACAAATTCTCTTTTAGGTATGTGTGATTGAATAAATTACATTTATTATGTCTGCTAATTTTTAACAAAATCCGTTTATACTCACGAATAACCTTCCGTGTATTGATGTTAAAGGATGAGAGAAATGTGCTATAACTGTTTAAATTTCTTTTATTTTCATTTCCCAAGTACTTTTGATCTTCTTCCAAGATTCTTCCAAGCCACTAAGATACGGGTTACTGGGTGTTGAAGAATTAGCAAACAGAAACATTATTAAGGAGCGAGAACAATAGAAGAGTAACCAGGAAGACAGTAGATGATGATTGATATTGCATTTAAATTTTTGAAGATCAAAGTTGGCTGGGAGGCATGGAGCCAGATGACTGTTCAACGCGCGAGAAGTCTTGGGAAGAAACTGTTAGCATAGAACTTACGGTTACATCTAGTCAGTTCAATTGTAAATTGATAACACCTTGCTGCCAATCTAATACTGTGCTTAAATTCATGAAGTCTAGATACCATAGCAAAGAGCGATATTTATTTCCGCTTCAATACAAAAAATGTGGCACAAGGCCAAAGCTGAGGAATGTAGAAAAGGACGGTTTTCTTCTACCTTAATATAAAACTTAGCCAGCCACAATCACTGAACCAAACATACAACAATATTCCTAATACCACAACAACGCATTCTTACTTACATTTCTTATTACATCCACCATAATACCTCATTGTCTCTATGAAAGTCCTAACTAGTCCCCATATATACAATTCATTGTCTGTGAGGGGAGGGAGTAAAACAACAATAGCGAAGATTACCATGAAAGTATTTATAGAAAAAGCACAGGGAAGATACATTATGGAGGTGGGGAATGTGACTGAAGCCGAGATGCTAGGTCAGGACCAATAATATTGCAGATTCTTTTTTGGATTTTATCAAGAATCTCTAAATATATAGCAGAAGCACCGGACCATATATGGCAGCAATATTCATGCATATACGAATGGTACACTTATAAATATGAGATAGTTTCTGGAGAGAAAAAAAATCCAGCACGACACAGTGAATCAACTTTCTTAGCAGCTGACAATGAATTCAGTATAGTCTTTCCACTTCATGTCAGCAGAAAACGTTTGCCCGAGAAGGTAAAACGAATCACTTTTCTGGAGCTTAGCATCAGCCATACTGTTGGAAGGCAGTAAGGCGCCTCTCGGATGATTAATGGAGAGTAATTTTGCTTTGGAGGCGTTAAAGGTAAGCCATTCTTTGCCCTAGTTAACAACAGACTGTAGATAATTCTTTTAGATCAGCTGCCAATTTGAGCTTATCAAACTGATAAGATATACCATTGAGACAGGAATAAAGAGTTGTGTCATTAGCTTAGATACCGAGTTGAGAACAATAATTTTCTGCATTTATCATAATTAACTTTACAATTTTATTGTTTACAATACTAAACTCCCATATTCACTTTTTCCTCTGTTGTCTAGTCCAGGGTATGACGATAAACTACATCTGGCAGCAAGGTCTCTCCTCGAGAGATTGGCGGTTTTGAGGAGCAGGGAATCACTTCTTAATTGCTGTTGTTCTAAGGTCCACCCTGACTCGGAGTGGTAGCACCTGTTAGGGTCCCTGCAATGGGCAAATAGTGACCCCTCTCCCCACAAAAAACAAAAATGCTATGAAAGTATTTTAATAGTAAAAATACCAGCAATACTATTTTATATAAAAGACCAACAAATGCATATATTAAAATGGCCAGCAATACATTTAATCTGTAGTTGAAGGTATATAATTGCGTTGAAAATATATATAGTTAAAAGCATAAGATTGTGTTTAAATTATTTAGATTTCGGTATAGAGGTGATGATATGCCGCTAAACAAAATCAACCAACGAACGTGTCGAGATGGAAGAACTTTTTCATGGCATTAATCTATATAATATCCTATAATTTCTTAAATCAAACTGTATTCCAAAATCTAACTTCAACAAAACTATAAAATAAAACACACATATCACCGTCTGTAGTAATAATGTCCACACAAACATATACAGGCACAAAAGCTGAGTATCATCTACCATGTATTCAACTGTGAAAGTAGAATAACATATAGCATATTTTTATTACTTCAAAGCTACCAAGGAAATTAAATTTCGTCGTTAAATGACCCATGAAGGTGTTGATATGCTGTTAAAAAAATCATCCAAGCAGACTCGCTTTATTGTCTTCCAAACAGTGGTGGTTGTCTCTTTCCATGAAAGATCCAACCTCCGCCTCCAGCTGTCAGCTCTGTCCAATGTCGCTCTGTATTTGTTTTTTGTGATGTTTACTTAAAGGCGGTAGTTTTGTTGTTTTCATATCTTTAGACAATGTTCTTAATTTTCTGCATCGTTTGTTTCTGTTTATAGTAGCGACACCAGTTTCTTCAAATGTTTTTTTGTTGTTGTTTCATCTACTACTACTACTACTACTACTACTACTACTACTACTACTACTACTACTACTACTCCTCTTATTTATTAGTCTTTTAATTATCTCCCAGATCTCTTTTTGTAATATTTATAAAGCCTGTTTTTTCTCATTCTTATCTTTTGCTACTATAGACAATTTGTTTTTGATTTGATTGTTCTTGGAACTCTGTTCAGCATTTAGAGATTTGCATTGTTCTGTCCCCCCATCAATGTCCCGCTTGACAAGATTTTGTTTCTCTTTTGTGGTTAGCGCTTTCATATTATCCTTGACAATCTTTATATTCCTTAAATTAAAAATAAATAGCAGTGACAATACAAATACATATTTATTTATATGAGGAACAAGCCTTCAGTTATAGAAAAAGCTCTTTTCAACAAATAAAATAAAAAAGATTTCATATAAAGAAGATATCATTAGCCAATATTTACATAGTATATTTATGATAGAAATAGAAATATATACTAAAATGTTCACCAGTATTGATTGAATAATAACAATCTTATTGAGGAAATCTGTAAAAAAAAAGATATTCTATCTATCTATCTATCTATCTATCTATCTATCTATCTATCTATCTATCTATCTATCTATCTCAGTCTGTTAAGCGATTCATTCATAAAAATTGTAGAATAAAATGAAAAAGAAAAATGGTAGTGTTGGTTTTTTTTCTGACGGAAGAAATAAAAAGGCGGAGGTGACGATGGAAAAATTAACGGGGAATTGAAGTCTGAATAAAAGAAAGAAAACAAGAAGGAAATAAAACAAGAAGAAAAGAAAAGGAAGAGCTGTTCGAAAAAGAGAAAAAAGAAAGAAACTGATAAAGAAATTGAAGAAAAATTGAATATCTTTAAAAGCGAAGAAAAAGTGAAGAAAAGGAAAAAGTGATCAAGAAAGAAAAGTGAAGAGAAAAAAAGAAAAAGTGAAGAGAAAAGAAAGACAGATAAATTGAAGAAAGAAAGAAAAGTGAAGAAAAGAAATAGAAACAGTAAAGTAAAATGAAGAAAAGAAAGACAGAAAAGTGAAGAAAAAGAGAAAAAGTAGATTTCTATTTTCTATTCTAAAAAAAAGGAGCTGAAAAGGTGACGATCATTTGCTTGTGTTCAGATTTTTAACCCTGACCAATCGTGGCGAGGCGTTGGGTGGTGTGGTGTGGGGTGGTGTTGAGATCGAGGTGAAGGTTAACGTGAACGGTTGATCGATCAGAAAAGACGGGAAAACAAGCAAGTGCTTCCCAGCCGGTAAGGGAGGAAGCCTGGATACCACTGGGATTGGGAAAGGTAGGGGAGGAAAAGGGTAGAGTCGATGTCTGGATTGTGTTTTTCTTTGTACGATGGTAGCGGTGGGGAGCAACACCTATAACAGCTGGACCATAATTAGTCGGAGAAAAGGTCAATGGCATGGTGGATACTATCAGTGAAAATGTTGATAGCCGCCATCTTGTGTCCTTTTAAGAGAAAAGAAAAAAGAGGGAATTTTTGGTTTAGTCGAAGAGAAGCGATCGGAAGGCTTTATCTGAAGTTCCACCCCAGGTTGAAATTTTAAAAATTACCCTTACCTTTTTTTTTTTTTAATTCTCGCAACAGATATTGTAAAGGAGGAAACGTTTTTCTGTGCAATAAACACTAAATAAACGGTAAGATGTGTTATATTTAATGATATTAACATTGAATGTTAAGTATTCTATAATTACTAAGATTGAAGAAAGAATGAAAATCATTTTCTAAAACATCTAGAAGAATAAAATAATTAAGCAAATAAAAGTTAAAGCAAAATGAAAGAAAAGAAAACATAGCAAAAAGCAGACGACAAACGATGGTGAATAATAATAATAATAATAATAATAATAATAATAATAATAATAATAATAATAATAAGAAGAAGAAGAAGAAGAAGAAGAAGAAGAAAAAGAAGAAGAAGAAGAAGAAAAAAGAAAGAAAGCAAGAAAGAAAGAAAAAAAGAAGAAAAAAGATGAATAAGAATAGGAACAAGGAAGAACAAGAAAATGAAGAAGAAAAAAGAAAGAAAGAAAGAAAAAAGAAGAAAAAGATAAACAAGAATCGGAAGAAGAAAGAAGAAGAAGATGAAGAAGAAAGAAGAAAAAAGAAGAAAAAAGAATAAGAACAAGAAAGAAGATGAAGAATAAGATGAAGAAGAAAGAATTAGAAGAAGAAAAAGAAGATGAAGCAGCGAGCTTATATCTGTGAATTCAAGACAGTTGTAAGTACCCCCAAAATATAAAAACGGTTGTAGGCAAGAAATATGAACGAGAATATTAAGCATCCGCTCATATTTTATCGACATTTTTAAGAGAAAAACTGCACTCATTCACCTTTAGGCTGGGTGTTCATAAATAATATTAAGAATTAATACGCCCCGAACTATTTTGTGCATGGATGCATTCTTCTCTTCCCAATATCAGCCTCTTTATGACTACAGTAAAATTATCAGACTTGCAAAACCGGCGCGTATGGATGCCAATACGTGAAAGATATTTATAATATTTTATGCTATTGTGTTTTGTTTATCAAATTAAATAATAATAATAAATAGCATTTTTCACTGCTACCCAAACAAATGAAACTCTAATAGACTAGATCGAGTATGCAGATTCCAAAGCTCTCTTCAGAATAGTCCTACCATGTTCGGTTTTTGAGATATGGAACTATTTTTTGTTGTTCAGTGTTTTAATATCAGACAAGGTCACCCTATCCATGCGCCTGCGTCCGCCATGCTTTGCTAAAACAATTCTGAATGACGTATACTTGATTTTACCTCAGTAGCAAAAACCTTGTTTCACAGTGTTATTTCATATACTGGACATTTCCAAGCGAAAAACGTATTTGAAGTAGGTTAGAGGACATTAATAACTGAATGATGTAAAAGTGAAAGAGATTGCTTATGAACAAGTCATGTTCCATCGACTCAATGTTCCGACAATTTCCTGTGATTTTCCTACAATTGTTAAACATAGGATTGTACTCACTAAGTGTTTATTTCCTTGCTCATTACAAATTGTGTGGGCACTGAAAAAACAAAAAAACAATTGACATGTTTAGCATTACATACATGTTCCTCGTAAAGTTTAAGGATTTATTAATATTTTATTAATATTATATGGGATATTAATATATACTTTATTTTTTATTGAAACCAGTAAAATTTACTACACAATGGCTACTGATGCTTTTTATTCTACAGGATTATTTTTGTTGATTAGTTTAAAATATTTACTTTGCCCTAATACCATATTAACTGAATACCCCGTTAGGATTGAACCTGCTGCTTGCTAGACATTGCTCCACAATAACTATGAATCAACTAGTTTTTCACTGATCAGTCAATTAGTTAAATGTCATACGTGATACACGCTTGGACGATCCTGTCTTTTTCGATCCATAATTGACTAGGAAGAAGATTTTTCCCTTAAAAGGTTGCCGTTTCTTTCTGTGGTAGACTGGTTGCCAATCAAGGCAATCTATCCTGCTATTTAACCATGACAGCAACGGTCAGTTAGTTAAATAACATACGTGATACACGCCCGGACGATCATGTCTCTTTCGATTCATAACCTACAAGGCAGAAGATTTTCCAGGCCGCCATTTCTTTTTGCGGTAGACCAGTTGCCATCCAAGGCTATAGAACCCGGTCTGTCCTGCTAGTTACTCATAGCTGGGGGGTGAAGAGGAGGATTCATACCTTTCCTCAGGTTATTAGAACGTAAGTGAATGTAACGAACTCGACTGGAATTCGAACTCGACTCTTCAATTCCTCAATCCGAGCCTCAAACTATTTTAAATAGATTAGAAATCAAAGACAGTTTTATTTTAATTTTCTTGTAAATATGCCCCCCTCAGGCAAAATTCGTGGTGGATTTGCAATTAAATAAATACGAAAAGGGGAAGATTTTATTATTTCTTGCATTCATTTAAAAATAACGCATTCTAAAAAAACTATCTTTAAATAATAAGTAGATAATAATAATAATAATAATAATAATAATAATAATAATAATGAAATTAATTTCGATGAGGAATGTTGCATCTATATGGAAGGTTTTTAGGATTTAAAACAGAACTGCAATTATTTCAAATATTTGGATTATATACAATGAATAAAAATCAATTAAAATATTTTATTTACAGTTTTAAGTGTTTCCTTTTTGTTTACGAAGAAGTGTACACCGACTGGATAATTGTCCTTATTTTCTGAAGATTTCAAAGACTTCACAAAAGACAATATTCTTTGGAAAAATAATTCTTCTTCTATGATGCCTTTTTTTCTTCCACGTAATTATCTCGATAGTTAATCTCTGTGAGCATAATTCCATAAAATAGTTTAAAATTGTTTTCAGCAAGTATCTTCAGACTTTAATCCCACTAAAAACATCAATGAATCCTTGAACAATGAAAGTCTACGAATTTTGGAGCAGTATATACCGTATAGGCACACTATTTTTATTTTACATATACTATAGATACACTATCAGTACTGTGTATATAATAGCGGTGTACTGTAAATATAAAGTATATAGTGGTATGAATAATCAAGAGGGGTCTCCCCTTGTTTTGTTACTCTCCTCTTTGAGAGAGCTATTTCTGTTTACCGGGACTATAAAAGGACACTATACCCGAACCTTGTATTTTCAGTTGAATAAAGCTTTCTAAAAGTCTACACCTGTGTACTTTTGTCATTACATATAGTATATGTACACGGTAAATATAGTATAATTTATAAGGTACAGTGTAACCCGGATATAAGAGACCCGGATATAAGAGACCCGGATATAAGAGAAACCCGGATATAAGAGAGATTTTCTCTGGTCCCAAATTAGAGCCTGTGTTAATGTATATAAAATAGACCAAACCCGGATATAAGAGAAAACCGGATATAAGAGACTTCTTCTCCGGTCCCGACAACTCTCTTATATCCGGGTTACACTGTATATATAATACGCATGCTTCAAGAGGGAGGGATCGGTGCTCGCACCGAGGCTAGCGCAACCGACGGTTGCGTTGGCTGAGGGAAAATTTTGTCCTTGCCCGTGTGTACGCGCTTGGGTCCCCACATTAATCCGACCTTGTGTCACATCTCATTCTCGTGGGGGAATGAGTAAAAACACCGCATATAATACGCATGCTATAGACACACTGTAAGAATCGTGTATATAATATAAGCATTCGGTAATTATCGGGCAAGTCGTATAAAAGCACACGATATGTATCTGGTAAATAGTATAAGCACACGATACGTATCGGGTAAATAGTATAAGTGCACGATACGTATCGAGTAAATAGTATAAGTACACGATACGTATCGGGTAAATTAGTATAAACAGAAGCTATGCATCTCACGTATAATATAGACACATAGTAAGTATTGCGTAAATATTAATTTTGCTTAATTTCAGATTGAGTAGCTTTTAGTTTTAAAGAATCTTTTTTTTTTTGGCGCTAAAGAACGCCGATGAAGCTCCCGTTAAGGAAAGGAGATTTTTTTTCTCAAAAGTTTGTGTGACTCTTACGCTATTCTTAAAGCTTCACTTCCGATACGAAAGAGTGAGGTCAGTAAACACACCTAATTTTTTTCTTTTTGCGCATGTATGTGCGTGCGTGTCTATTGAAGTTATATGTTTTTGACCTTCCGTTAAATTCATCGCCACCCCCTCTACTCGGACCTTTGTTGTCATTTGTTGATAATAGTATAAACGTAACAACGAACGTCCGTTTCCGGTACGTCTATATAAGTATTGGCGGTCATAAATACAGCATCCGACCGAATCCGGAACACGATCTTTCTGTGCAATTTTTGGTAAGAAATAAAATGAAATAAGAAAAAAGAATTTTTCACAGAGGGAAAGCCGACAGGAATTCGGTTTTTGTCCGGAAAACGCCTCTTAGGAATTTGCGAGCATTGTCGAAATTTCAGACACGTAGCAATGGTGAGATAAAGTATTTCGCTTTTTGTTATACGGTACATACTGGTATATAAGTCGACCTTTTGCCTTAGTATGATGATGTGAATGGAAAACGTTTGTAACGCTAAAATGAACATTTTTAGGATAGTGCTTCTAAAGCTGGCAATGAAAATATTTGACAGGTATATCTGCTGATAAATGACTATATCACTTTGAAACCTTCAAATTTGGAGAAAAAGTCTACGTTTTTTTAAGATTATTTATGGGCCGTTGTCATAATTCCTCAGTTATATTTTAAAAAGCTGTCATATCAAAGAGAAATAGTTGCAATGATAGTAAAGAAGACAGTATAAACTTGGGGTAGTTGAATTAAACAAGATCGTGTAAAACTAGAAATAAAACATTGACTAACAAATAAAAATAATAATAGTGACAAAGCAGGGCCGTTGCGTACTCCTTTCGAACCCTCAGACCGGTTTTGAAGGAAGCCTGATTGGGGCGGGGGGGTCCGGGCAATGCTTTGTAACCCTTGCTATCTTATCAACATTTGCTTTTTTCTCTACCTACATTTATAAACTTTATAAATTGAACTAAGCACAACTATTAAAGAATGAAAAACTTTCACGGATAGTGACGTCATTCTTTCTTTTTTCCCTCCAAATTCGTGAATTTGTTTTGCACATGCTAAGCCACGAAAAAAGACTATTTAAAATTCACTAGATTTTATCCATAATGTTGAATGTGCTAAAATTCTTCAACTTTTTAACAAGAAAAATCTCGAGTGAATGCTAAAAATTGCGACAACACATTGTTGATTTATTTAAAATCGAATGATTTATTATAATATGTCTTTAATTTGTATTTACATACATTGGATTTATTTTCAATTTTTCTAGTTGAATTGTTCAACCATATTGCTTATGGTACATTATTGTACATAATTAGGTTACAATCAAATTTGTATTCTTATATGAAAATTGAGATCCAGTAGTGTTGGTGGGTGGCTGTATCATATCTTCAGGGGTGGGGCACAAGACCTTTGCACCGGCCCCCTGCATATAAGTCAAGCATTTGAATCACAGATATCACATTCGATAAAAGGTTAAAGTTTGAATTTAATCAATGTTGACTGTTGTTTATATTTTTCGAAATTAAGGGGAGCAAGAAAAACTGATGGAAAGATGACTTTAGAATACAGACCGCACTATCACTGCTATAATATAGGGAGAGCATAGTCTGTTTCTTACTTTTCTTTATCTTCCCCTCTCTCTCTCCCGCTATATATATACACGCAGAGAGAGAGAGAGAGAGAGAGAGAGAGAGAGAGAGAGAGAGAGAGAGAGAGAGAGATTTAGTTGCGTTGATG